CCTGGTACCAGGACTTCAGGGTGAAGTCCCGTAGAACCACAACCCATAGAGAGTCGCAATGAGAGGATCCTCCACCTGCCCCACTTTACCTAAGGAATTTTGGAGGGCTGATGTTTGGCTGGAGACCTCAGAATGTTTGGTGACAGAGAAGGAGGTCCAGGGGTGAGTTTTGTGGTTGGTAGAAGTCCAGGATCCCGAGGCAGCTCCCATCCCCAAGGGGACAACAGGTTCGAAGGGAGATCCTGGTTCCAGGTTTTAGCACCAATGAAAGATCATAAAAAAACATACCAAACACTGGAGTAAGGGAAAAGGTTTATTGTTGGGTGGGGGAAACTTGACAGGCTGCCTACCTGTGCATGAAAGACCAGCAAAGGCTTCTTGTAAAAAATCTTCCAAGTCATGGGGGCCAGGGCTGTGGTGCAGCAGGTTAATGCCCTGACTTGAAGTGCCGGCATCCCATATGGGCGCCGGTTCAAGACCTGGCTGCTCTACTTCCGATCCAGATCTCTGCTAAGACCTGGGAAATCAGTAGAAGATGGCCCAAGTTCATGGTCCCCTGCACCCACACCCATGTAGGAGACCTGCAAGAAGCTCCTGGCTCCAGGCTTCAGATCGGTGCAGCTCCGGCTGTCGCGGCCATCTGGCGAGTGAACCAGCGGATAGAAGACCTTTCTCTCTGTCTCTGTCTCTGTCTCTCTCTCTCTCTTTCTCTCTGTGTGTATGTAAAACTCTGACTTTCAAATAAATAAATAAATCTTTAAAAAATTGTCATTAAAAAAAAATCTTCCAAGTCAGAGGATTCAGGAAAAGGATTTCATATTGCACTCTTAGTAGTGGGTTCTCTTCCTCTATTTTATTTATTGCCATTTGGGGAAGTTATCATACTGCTGAAAATGCTTTTTGGGACCAAAAAAAATTTATGATGTGTTATTTTCCAGGACTGTTGCTGTTGCTGAGTTGGATTTTTTTTTGATATATTTGATCATTAGGTGGCAGTGATTCAGTCATTATGGTGGTGGCTGTTCCTGGCGTGATGATATTAGCACTCCAAAGCTGTGCTCCATAGCATCCTGTCAGCCTATTTATAGCACAGTGGAGCATCAGCGCCATTGTCACCCTGTGTGAGTTTCCTCGCACTCCATCTTCCAGTGCTCAGATCTCTTGTTGTTATGCTATCATCTTGGTAATTCCTTGGCCAAGAAAGCTTAACTATTGTCTTTTTATACTCACAGATATCTGCAAATTACCTTTCTTGGAGTGTTTTGGAATCTCTATGAATGGTCAAGAAATCTTAGCTGAATTTGAGGTTCTCTTTGATCCCTATGTGGTGCGCAAGAGTGCAGTGGTTTCAGAGTTAGACACACTCGCCTCTGGTCTGGCCCTCAATGCTCACTGTAGTGGTTCACTTATTTGGCCACACATTGGGCTTAGTGAGGGTAGATTTTTTTTTTTAAGATTGATTTATTTGAAAGGCAGAGTTACAGAGAGAAAGAGGGAGGTCTTCCATCCGTTAGTTCACTCCCCAGGTGGCCACAACAGAGCTGCACCGATCCGAAGCCAGGAGCCAGGAGCTTCTTCCGGGTCTCCCACGCAGGTGCAGAGGCCCAAGGACTTGGGCCTTCTTCCATTACTTTCCCAGGCCATAGCAGAGAGCTGGATTGGGAGTGGAGCAGCTGGGACACGAACTGGTGCCCGTATGGGATGCCAGCACTGTAGGCGACAGCTTTACCTGCTACACCACAGCATCGGCCCTGGGAGTAGATTTAAAACCAATATTTTTGCTAAGTCTCATCCTAGTGATTGTGATTTAATTGGTTGGTTGGGGCATTTGGACTTTTCAAAACAACTACAGGTGATTGTAGCAGTTGAAGCTCTTCTATGTGATGAGTTTCTTAATGGTTATGAGCCTCAAGTTTCCTTATACATAAAATGGGCATAGTAACATCTCTCCTATAGCAGTGCTGTGAGGATCATAAGATAATGTAAGATTCTTATGTGGGCTAATATCAGAGGATCCAGACAGGCCCTTGCTCCTGAAACTCCAATATAATTCTGCCACATTGCGTCTTCAATTGTGGGACACAATTGTGGGACCTTCATCGTATCCCATCCTAACTTCCTGGTTGATCTGGCTCATCACCACCCTTTGAGGGAGTATCTTTGGGATTTGTGGAATCACATCTGCTGGTGATTGACCCCCTTTTAATTTGCACCTGTGGATCCAGCACAGCTTGCCCACGTGACAAGCAGTGTTTTGTGTTAGGCTCATGCTTATCTCCAGAACTTCATTGCTGTCGAGGTGTCCCCGGTGTGGCTGGCCTTTCTCCCCACTGCCTTGAGTGATGATCCTGCTCACCTTGCCCTCCAACATGCAGGCCTCTTCCTCCGTTATTTAGAGTTCATGTTCCTACTCTACACACCAAAATTGTCTTTTTCTTAAAAGGATTTATTTATTTATTTGAAAGGCAGAGTTACAGAGAAACAGGGAAAGAGACAAAAGTCTTCCATTTGCTCATTCACAGGGCTGCGTCAGGCTGAAGCCAGGAGCTTCCTCCTGGTCTCCCACATGGGTACAGGGACCTAAGCACTTGGGCCATCCTCCACTGCCTTCCCACACCATTAGCAGGGAGCTGGATCCAGAGTGCAGCAGCTAGGAATGGAAACAGTGGCCATATGGGATACTGTAGTTGGAGGTGGCAGCTTTACCCACCATAACGCTATGCCACAGTGCTAGCCCCCACCGCACTAGAGCCTTCTAACCTTAAGGCATAGCTCAAGCCCTGTCCTCCTTGCAAAGCCTACCCTTTTGAAGTGTGTTGTCCTTTCAGTAGAGAATCTGGCACCCATTTTTCAATGCTGCAGTCTGCAGAATAATGACTAACACACTTGCCTCATCACTCCTGCTCAGTGCTTCAGGTGATCGGAGAGTAGATATTTCTCACCGTTCCATCTACCCAGCTCCTAGAACTATTAGTACATTTCTCAATATTCAGGATGTGTTGAGTGAGTGAATGAAGAATCCCTTTTATACTTAGTCTGTCCTTTTAATATAAACACAGTTATAGGAAGAAGCTGAAATATGAAGTCCTGTGTCCCTAGCTAGACTTTTAGTTCTCTAACTGTAGGTGCTGCTTTCATAGTTCTTTATGTTCTGTATGGTATCTGCCACAATACTTGGCCAACATTAAATGCTCAGTGAGTATTTTGTCTTGTTTAGGAGTAGGAACATGCAAACAAAAGCTCTGAAGGAATGGCTAAAAACTGCATATTTATGATAATGACCTCAACAGAGCATAGCTAAGAGCTAGACTTAGTTGATGAGGGCAATGATCTCTGTGGAGGACTGGTGCATACCCCAGCAAGGGCCATTGGATCCAATAAGAAAATTCTAGAAACTTTTTCAGATTTCAGAATAATTAAGATTTATTGAATTCTATATTATAGATGGTCACGGGCCTTCATTTGATCCATATGGCACACATGAAGGGAGGCAGTGTCCTCCTCCTGGGTTTATTTTCATTTGCTATATTCAAAGGGATCTCGAGCCATTTGTAGACAGCTGTAGATGTATGAATTTTATTACCTAATTTATCTAGTTTATGTGTCTCACAACATGGACAAGTGCCTTAAAAAATTCTTGCAGAGAAATAGGAATTGAAGCTATTACTGATAATATAAGCGCAAGTAACTGGGAAGAAACTGGCAGGAGTGATCCTTCCCTCCTGCTAGTATGCCATCTTGGCTAACCAGATGACAAGGACGAAACAGTGTTGGTCTAACAAAATCTGATAAGGATAGGTCAAAAATTTCTGAAATAGCCAAGAAGACTATATGCAATGTGGATTTACAGCCACTTTTCTTTTTGTGTTGATCTAATCCTATGTGGATAATATATCTTAAGGAATGAACCTAATGGTGTTTGAAAATATTTTTATTGTATTTCATCTTTTGAAATTTTAATTCTCTAGTTATTAAAACATTCTTTCTATATTAGTCTGTAACTATATCTGTATAAATTTAAATAAGCATCATATATTGGGATATATACTGAAAAATATTTTATTGGTAGGAGTGCTCATCCACTGTGTTAGAGCACTGTGCAAATAACAGTGTGAGTTGTTCTTAATGGGCTGGTTAGCATCATCATGTTACACTGCTCTCACATTTCTAGCTGACCCAAGAGCCATCTCAGGAATGTGTGTTATTAATCACCATGGTAATGGCACAACTGGGAGGACATAGGTCATTAAAAATTCATCAGTATTGGGTTAGAAATTAACTCAGATCACACATCATTCTGAAGTCAGGGTACTTTTTGCTTATAGAAAAAGGCAACCTTTGCAATGTAACATTTTTAAAAATATGTATCATAAGTATTACATGAACATATGGTATTATATGTATATTTGGAAGTAGATGGCAACAACAAAATCCTGGGAATTCTTTGTCAAACATTTTGTGATTTATTTTAACCTGATACCATTCCTGTGAGTTAGGGATCATCCTCATTGTATTACAAGGAAAGGTAAATCAGAGGGCTTAAGTGACTTGCCCAAACATCCATGCTTAGCAAGTGTAGAACTGGGGTACAAATTTAGGGAATTGCTATTAGCCAATAATTTGCTGTTACCCTCCAAAGGCAGAGAATGCATATAGTATCGAGTTACCTTAGAATTTGAAGGCATTCACAATTTTTCAGATACGGAAGGCTGAGCAACAGCGGATTCTATTCTCTAAGAGTGAAATCAAAATGTTTATCCTGAGGCCTGGGGCTGGAATCTTCATTTCATCTATCTATAGCAGGTGGTGAAAGGCTAGCCAATTTTGGTTGCACTTGTTGACATTGAATCATCTTATGTCATTTCTCCAGCAGTGCTGCATTTTTGTTTGAGCAAGAGATCCCTCCCTGGCTCTTTGCCAAGAGTTTTTCCAACAGTATTCTGCAGAGCATCAGATAGCAACCTAAAATACAATAAATGTTCATTTCTCTCTGTTAACAGGACCATTGCCAACTATTTGGTATGGAGAATGGTTTATTCCAGAATTCCAAACCTCAGCAGGCGTTTTCAATATAGGTGGCTGGAATTCTCACGGGTGAGTTGAAGAAGGTTGCAGTGTTACATCACTGGCTAACTTTACATGCTGGAACAGTCTGTATATTAACTGATTTAATAAAAGAAAATCATCTTAGAGGATTGGAAGGAGCTTTACAGCCCAAGCTCTATTTTTATTTGGGATTTTTCCTTTTTATTCAGGTGTAACTTACATAAAGTAATCTATACTCAAGTTCTACTTTGTTGGGGTGTATAAATGTATTTAGGGCAATACTTGGCACTGTCAGATGGTTTTTACCTTCCTGTTCTTATAAAATTATTCCCATTTTTTTCCCAGTGATTTTAACAAGGTCATTATAAATATAGTCTTCATATTTTTAGCGATATATTTGTCACTGTGTTTTCATTTTTTATTTCTCGAACAGAGAATGATTTTATGTATTTATGAGGTATAATTTGATGTCTTGGTCTATGTATACATTATAGAAATATTTAGTCAAGCTAATTAGCATGCCTATCACCTTGAGAAGGTAAAAAAAATCTTTTCAGTAATTTTGACATATATAGTATTGTTGACTTTGGTCACCAGGAACTTAAATACAAATATTATATGATTTCATTTATATGTGGAATATAAAAAGGTTGACGTCATGGAAACAGACAAGAGAAAGGTGGTTACAAAAGGCAAAGAGGTTGACGCGGGTGGGGAAAGGGCAGCTGTTGATCAAGGGAGCACCATTTCCATTAGACTGAAGGAATGCATTTGGGTGACCTGTGTACTGCAGCTATCTTTTGTTCTCATTAGTCTGATTATTCAAGAAGTGTGTGCTAGATGTGTTCGGTGGGAAAGTTTCATTTTCAATTTGGGCATTAGAGTATTTGCTTTAACCTTATGCGGATCTTTCCTCTTTGAATCTATCCTAATTCGGCTAGGCCCAGGAGGCCCGCCCCACTTTTGTCTCCTGTAGACCTCCATCATTGGTCTGAAGTACTTTCTTTGTCCTCCTCACCTAGCTCCTCGAGCTTTGCTTCTCTCCCCTACCTTGTTTGCCTCTGGATTTACACAGGCAATCCTCTCATCTTTGTTTTTTTTTTTTTTGTTTTTTTTTTTTTTTTTACAGACAGAGTGGACAGTGAGAGAGAGAGACAGAGAGAAAGGTCTTCCTTTGCCGTTGGTTCACCCTCCAATGGCCACCGCAGCCGGCGCGCTGCGGCCGGCGCACCGCGCTGATCCGATGGCAGGAGCCAGGAGCCAGGTGCTTTTCCTGGTCTCCCATGGGGTGCAGGGCCCAAGCACCTGGGCCATCCTCCACTGCACTCCCTGGCCACAGCAGAGGGCTGGCCTGGAAGAGGGGCAACTGGGACAGAATCCAGCGCCCCGACCGGGACTAGAACCCGGTGTGCCGGCGCCGCTAGGCGGAGGATTAGCCTAGTGAGCTGCGGCGCCGGCCTCATCTTTGTTTCTGCGGCTTGTATCTGAGAAATTCTCCCAGCGCTAGAGACCTTAAAGATGTTGTAGCTTTTTTTTAAAGATTTTATTTATTTATTTGAGAGGTAGAGTTACAGACAGTGAGAGGGAGAGACAGAAAGGTCTTCTATCCCCTGGTTCACTCCCCAAATGGCTACAACATCCAGAGCTGCACCAGTCCAAAGTCAGAAGCCATGAGCTTCCTCCAGGTCTCCCACGTGGGTGCAGGGGCCCAAGGACTTGGGCCATCTTCTACTGCTATCCCAGGCCACAGCAGAGAGCTGGATCAGAAGTGGAGCAGCTGGAACTTGAACTGACGCCCATACGGGATGCCAGCGCTGCAGGCAGAGGCTTAACCTATTGCACCACAGTGCTGGCCCCTTGGCTTTTAAATAATATGTCTATGTTTACTTTCTCTAACAATTTAAAGTGAAGTGAAATCAGATCTTCTAAGCCTCTACTTCATTCACAGAGGTCTTAGTTTATTTGAGAAACTAAGAAGTACAGAGATTCTTAGTAAGCCATTGCTCTTGGATTATTTTGGATACATTTGACCCTCTAAAGTTACTAGAATATAAAGTCACTTTATAGAGAACAAAACCAACTGTGTATATTTAGGTCATATCAAAGGGTTAAGATAAAAACAAGTAGATTTGTGCGTGTGTGTATTTTTAACTCCTATGGCTCACATAAAAATGCGAGCCAGCTGCTTTCTACCCCTACTGTGAAGAGCCCGTGTGAGAGGGACAGAAAGGTGTAAGAAGTAGCGTGTGAAAATTTGAGGTTAGCTATAAGGGGATGTTTCTTGGGCAGGACGTGCTAAATATAATATTGTATTGCCAAAGAAGGGTGTAGGATCTCTTTCTGTAGAGGTTTTAAAAATAGATCCATCCCTTATCTCCGAGAGGGGTCATGTCACCAGAAAGCAGAAGAAAGATAGATGTGTTTCAGTGTTAATCCTGTTCACCCTGCTTGGACAGCCAGGGTCTCCTGTTGTGCAAGAGGCACTTCCGGTCCCCGTCCTCAGGCCTCCCTCTCTCACTGCCTGCCTACACCCTGAGTCTCCGAGAGCAACTGAAACTGTATTTATTTCTCTGTTTCATTCCCATGAATAAACCTTTGAGCCTTCCAAGTCCTGCTTTGGAAGCTCCCCACTTGTTTATAAATGTTTTCTTGTAATGTATAATTGGGACAGATGGAAAAATGTTTACACCTGTATTTTGCCTGTTTGCCAGTGTGTAGCTTTGCTGTGACACAATGTAAATATGCTCCCTGGGTTATTCATGGTAAGCCATGTTCTCCTGGTCGGCCTTGTTGGGTGTACTGTGTAAAGAAAGGAAACCCTTCTGGTCAGGAACTTTGATCACCCTTTGATTCTAGACCTCTCGTAGGGGAACTTCAGTTCTCCAGAGATGTTTTTCCTCAGTAGACATGAAATACTGTCTGGACCCTTGAACAGCATCCTCTTATGTCCCTGGTGACTTCAGAAAAGCCATCATCATCTGGATCCTTGGTTTAATGGAAAAAAATTGGAAGAGAAGGAGAAGTATATTGTTTTTCACTGTCAGAATATTTTCATTGAGTTTTAAATATAATTGGGGAGAAGCAGAGGTTTTTTTCTTCATGTGATTTTACCTTTGCCTCTGTCGGACATGTATATGGGTTGGGTGTGCAATGTTTTATAGACTATTTTCTTCAGGTTGTTTGGATTTTTTTAAATGATAGGTTTTATTCAAGGGAAGCTCAGTGTGCATCAATTATCTTCCACAGGTAATCCAGGGGACTACAACATTGCTGCCTCAGTGGGACAAATGTGTAAACTTTATTGAAAGTGCCCTGCCTTATGTTGTTGGGAAAATGTTTGTGGATGTGCACTTCCAGGAAGGCAAGAAGGAGATGGTAAGTGGTGCTCCCCAGATGTGGAAACATCATCTTGAGCTAGCCAGATGTGCCAAGGTTGTAGTCAGCAGGTCAATGGCAGCCTTCCACAAGGCAGAGCTCTATAGGTATTCTCTTTGGATTCTTTAACCATGTCAGTGAAATACAGGCAGAGGAAGGTCATCAAATGAGGGAAGGAATCTATGAAGAGATAGTGAAGGTTAGAGGAGAGGAGAGGTGGTGTGAAGTCACTGTGCAGGGCAGTGGGAGAGTGAATAAACTAGGTCTAAGTCTAGGTCTCGTTGAAGTTTGAGGTCACCGTGGGAACATGATCTGCTCTTTCCCTTTCAGCTGCACTGGGGGAGAGAGAGAGAGAGAAAGAGAGAGAGAGAGAAATTGTGTGTGTGTGTTTAATTCTACCTTAATTGAGGCACATTTGACAATTGAAAATTGTACATATTCAAAAGTGTACTGAATGATGATTTGATATACATTGTGAAATTATTACTGCAATTAGATTAACACATTTATCTCCATACTTGTTTACCTTTGGGATGTATAGGTGGTGAGAACAGTTAAGATTTACCTAATTTCAAGTATATAACACATTATTAGTAACCATAGTCACCAGCCTGTATGGTAGATCCCCAGAACTTACTCATAACTGAAAGTTCGTACTCTTCGATTAGTATCTCTTATCTCCCCCTCAGCCCCTGGCAACTACAGCTTTACTTCCTGCTTCTAGGAATTCAACTTTTGTTTAGGTTCTACATATAAGTGAGATTATGCAGTATTTGTCTTTCAGTGTCTAGCTTACTTCATGTAGCAACATGTCTTGTATATTTATCTATGTTGTCACAAAAGGCAGGATTTCCTTCTTTTTTTTTTTTGACAGGCAGAGTTAGATAGTGAGAGAGAGAGAGAGAGAGACAGAGAGAAAGGTCTTCCTTCCATTGGTTCACCTCCCAGATGGCTGCTACGGCTGGTGCGCTGCACTGATCCGAAGCCAGGAGCCAGGTGCTTCCTCCTGGTCTCCCATGCGGGTACAGGGCCCAAGACTTGGGCCATCCTCCACTGCCTTCCCGGGCCACAGCAGAGAGCTGGACTGGAAGAGGATTTCCTTCTTTTTATGGCTGGATCATATTTCGCTGTCTGTGTGTATACATATTTTCTTCATTCATTCATTCACTGATGAGACATTTAGGTTGATTCAGTAGCTTGACTATTGTGGATAATACTCCAAAGAATATGGGAGTATAGATGTCTCTTCATTTCCTTTGGATATATAAGCAGTAGTGGGATGGCTGAATCATAGGGTAGTTCCTTTATTAATTTTTAGAGGATCCTGAGACTATTTGTTATAATGGCTGTGCCGGTTTATTTTCCCACGAAGAGTGTACAAGTGTTCTTTTTTCCCGTGTTCTCACTGACACTTGTTATCTCTTGATTTTTTTTATAATAGCTATACTATCAGATGTGGAGTGATATCCTCTTATTTTTTGATTTGCATTTCCCTGGCAATTAGTGATATCAAGCTCCTTTTCAGATCCTACTTGGTATTTGCCTATGTTTTTTGAAAAAATGTCTTTTCAGATTATTTGCCCATTTTTAAATCAGAGTATTCATTTTTTCTATTGAGAGGGTGTATTTTGAATTAGAAATTTGGATTTAACCAATTGTGTTGTATGTGAATTTTGTTTTTGGTGTATCCAGGCATGATTAACTAGTAAATATTCCATGAAGTCAATCAGATATGAATATCAGAGCATCTTGGAGGCAGATGGGTAATAAACATTGAATTGAAAGGAAACGGCATAACAACATGTGTGAACTCATGATGTTGCACATAGTTGGTGTTATGTAGCAATACATAATACATTGTGTGTCTTGCACTGATGTTTCCTTTGGAAAACTATAAATATAAGTACATTTACTTGTATTTGTTTTTATTGCTGTTGGGCACTTTGGGGGAATTTTCTGTGAAGTTTGAGGTGCTGTATCTGAACCTGAAGGTTCTCTTGCAAATAATTCCACTGAGGCATTAATGTCTGATTTTGAAATTAGTGCTTTCATTGTATCTTTTCTGTTGCACGTTGGTCTGAGTAAATGGGTGGAGAACTTAACAGCTGAGCATAGTGGTAACATTATAAGCTCTGGGAAGAATATTAAAAACAATTAAGAAATGATAGAGGTTTTGTTTTTCATATACAGCACAAGTTGTTTTTGGCAGTAGAAGAATTTTAAATAATATGAAAAGTATGTGGATTAAATTTGTTTTTCTCAGTTTTGGTGCAAGAGTTCCTTTTTCATGTGTTGGGTGTGACATTCTAAAATAAAGTTGATTTTGGCAGTTTCTACCCTTATTTTGATGTCCGTGGGGTAGTTTGATAGTTGCACGGATACTGATCCCTTGGACGTAATATTACTTGCCTCCCTTATTATGCTGAAGCTGTTTACCTCAGGGAATGTATAAGTTGGAAACTTCTAAGAGAAATATCTGGCTTTTTATAACCTAGTTACAGGGCTCCCATCCAAGAACCACCTGGAACCACTGATTTATTTGAAAAACATTCTGTATTATAAGCTACAACCCAAAGAAAAAAACAGAAAGATCCCTAGTGGGGCAAATTCCAGGGTCTCTCACTCAGGCTAAAGGCTGCTGTTGTTTATTTACCAAAAAAAGTTTACTAAGCAAATGAATATGATCAGAAGGTTAAACCTCAGGTACTTGTCAAACTTAAGTGGTACATGAATCACGTGAGGATGTTCTTGTACAAATGCAGTATCTTCCTGCATTTTATCAGCACCTTTCAGACTTGGATTCGGGGTAGGACCCAAGATCTTACTTCACACCTTGAGCAGCAAGGCCTTTGCCTTGTTCCTTTGTCTCCTGTTACCACCAAAAACGAGCTCTGGTGATTCATGAGAGCAGGCCAGGCCTGTTGACTTCTGCAGTAACATTTCATTTTCTAAGACCTGTTGCATTAGTGCAACTAACTGCTTCAGTTTTCAGAGTATTGACGATTTCTGTGATTCGGATTGTTTTCAATGGACTATGCCAAATCTCGTGTGTGACCTGCAGGCTTGTTACTTTTTTTCTCCCTGGAATGTTTAATTTTCCTTTGAAAAGTGCTATCTGCCTGGGTTAGGGCCGAGCCTTAACCCAGGTGGGATTATCCGCAAGCCTGCTTACACTCGAGGGAAAGGATAGTGGCGTGAGAGTAGGGAGCCGCTGAGCTCTTTGGACAGTCGTTGTCTTTGTGGTCCAAAGAAGCTCAGTGTTATAGAACTCAGATACAAGGCAGATGCGTAATTTTAATTTTTTCTTGTAGTGGCACTAAAAAAAGTGAAAGGAAATAGATGAAGTTAATTTTCATAATATATTTTGTTTACTTTAATCTATCTAAAATATTGTCATTTCAGTGCATAATTAATATGTTACTAATATGGTGGCTTATATGCTTTTGTTCATACTAAGCTTTGAAATGCCATATGTAACCTGTACTACAGTGTATCTCACTTCAGACTGGCCACTTTCTAAGTGTTCAGTTGCAGCGTGGCTACCATATTGGGCATTGCCAGGGTAAAGAATTAAAGAATCACTTGGGCTCAGCATGGCAGGGCTCAGTCACTAGGAGAGAGGGTGCGAGTAACCAGGACTGCGAAGTCGGCAATGCCGGACAGTGGCTGACTGGCTTTCAGGGGAGGCTCTCCTGTCCGAGAGGACGGGCTCAAGCAATACGAAGAGTCCCGGCCTGGGCACAAGGGTGAGGGTTGGAGTCGAGGCACGAACTGGTGAGGAGCCTTCACATTTTCTGGGATACCTTCTTAGAGGAGGAAACATTCCAGACCGTTCTCTCCGGCAAGTGCTTGGGAGACGAACTTCTCCTTGACTCAGGGACAGCATGTGGTAGAATTTCCAAGTTGAAGATGTTCCGTGCCCGCGGGATGTGAAGGACTGGGGCAAGTCAAACCCGCAAGTTCCAAGCTCAAGCAGTCTGACGGTCAATGAGTAACATTAAATAACATGCAGGAGTAAAGCTGATGGGATGCAAACAGAAGTCAGGACAAGTGTAATGATAAATAGTAATTGCATTTGACTTTGTTGCCTGGGACACGCTAGTGGTGAACGGGAGTGAATGTGCTATCCAGAATTCAGATGACACTCATCTCTAGCCAATTATTTTCATGCAGACCTAGGTTGCCACCTAGGCTTCTGGTTTTTATTTATTTTTTTGTTTTTTTCAAGAGCAGTCAGAAATAGAGATTTTCATATGAAATCCTGTACATTAAAAACCTTGGGGCTGGCATTGTGGCATAGCAGGTGAAGCCTCTGCCTGCAAAGTCAGCATCCCATATGGACGCTGGTTCGAGACCCAGCTCTTCTACTTCCCATCCAGGCTCCTGGTTTTGGCCTGACCCAGCCCTGGCTGTTGGGGTCATTTGGGGAGTGAGCCAGTGAATGGAAGATCTCCCTGTCTCTCCTCTCTTTGTACCTCTGCCTTTCAAATAAATAAATAATCCTTGAAGAAATATTTTGGTCAATACCCTGAGAGCAAAACTAAAGATATCCTGCAGAGGACATTTTGTGACTTTTATATTCACACTTCCTCCTTCCCTCCCCCTCTCTATCTCCATTGCCATCTCCAATCTTCAGAACCCCAAAATCATAACCTTATATGTCATAGAACTTAATTTTTTACCGTACTAACATGAAGATCATGTATTAGTGTAATTGAAAAATATGTAAGATTAAGTCTGGCTTACCATGGCCAATCCCACATCTGAGTGCCTGGGATCAAGTCCACCTCTGTTTTCTATCCAGCTTCCTACTAATGCTCCTATGTGGCAGCCGACAATGGCCCAGGAACTTGGATTTCTGTCGCCTATGTGAGACACTGGAGATTCTGGCTCCTGTCTTAAACCTGGCCCTGTCCTGGCTCTTGTGTGCATTTGGGAAGTGAATCAGCAGACGGAAGATCTCTTTCTTTCTCTTCTTCCTTACCTCCTCCCTCTCTATC